CGAAACCATCGCTCATTTAATAGATAAATAACAAAGTTTAAGTTTTATAAGCTCAAATGCTCGACGATCCGTTTGACGTAGGGTGTCGTGGGGATTCGTAAACGACAACGGGCGTCGGGACGCAAGATTCGATCGTGTCATCTCTTATTGTGTGTCATAGTGGCCGTCAACCTACGTCGCGTCTGCGATGCTTCACGACATCACAACAAAAAGACTAGCATGTTTAATTTTTTTAACGGTCGTCCACGACGGTTCCGTCACATGTGTGAGGTTGACCAATAGGAGCACAGAAGCTTTTCCGTACACAACTTTCAAAAATGGCGAGTCGATGGTGCTAACGTTAAAACTAAAAGTAAAAATATATAAGAAAACAATATTATACCTCAATCTCTCTTTGGAGGATTGACAGCCCATACTGTCCTCTTCGAGCAATCCAGGAACGTGTCCATTGTCGGGTTTTCTTCCTTTTTTTACTTTTTTCTGAACACAGGACTGCCAATACAACACTCACCGCTTCATCCATTGTTTGTTTACGTTTGTTTTCGGAAGTCACTCGCTACTACTTTCGCCTTCTCGATGACGGCACACGACTGGTCAGGAAGCAACGTGTAGTCTGACATGTGTCTTGTCCACGACACGACAAGGTTTTAGGAGTCAAAATAGCGTAATCTGACACAGTGATTATCGTAACAAACAAAAAAAAGAATCGTGTAATCTGAACCAGGCATAATGTTGACCAGTTGTCTTGTATTAAATGCATTATATTCACACAATCCACACACCATATACAATATCAATCCGTTTGTTATCTCAACCTGGCAACCTATACCCCAGTTGCAGTTGCGGAAAGCTCAACCCGAACGGTACCCGCACAAATCTCACGAATTTGCAAAACCAAGCTATGACGTGAAATGACCTTAAGTATGGAGTCGGTAGTTTACCAACAACAGAAGTTTCTCCATCTGTCTGTTTTCCGTGCAAATATGCGAGTCGTTTATTCCCAAAGTTGTGTAAGGCGACGACGTTGAAGCGCTCAGCGAAAACGTCATCATTCACGGCTGCAGAACGGGGGAGATTTAGACCCTGCGAATGAATTAGAGAAATTGGAAAGTTCCTCAGACATCAGTTCCCAGGAGCAGCGAGAATAAAAAATGGTCCGATTTTGTTTTCTGGCAGAAGAAATGGAAAACAAACGGTTCTAATTAATCAAAGTGATGCCGGCAGATGTGAAAGGTTGTGAATTACCAATTGAAAGCAAAACATTCAGTCCTGTCGCACACATTGGTCCTCTGTCCACATTTGTCAGCGCTTTTCATGTGTGGAGGGGAAAGGTTTCCTGTAAAGCTGCTAAAACACTGGCCTCGGGGTGTGTGTGTCTTTAAAAGTGTATTTCTGCTCTCAGTGTTGTTATTTGGGGCCTAAACTGCTAGATTTTATTACAAGCATTTTGACTGACCAAACCTGTTTAGAGATGAGCTGTGTGCGGAAGTTGACTGAAAAAGCATTTAGCGGAAATGCACATTTAAATGTAGAGTCAATGGGTCTCATTCATGAAACACGAGCAGAACGAATTTTTGTGTGAATTTTCGGATTCATTAAAATGTTCGTATTTTCCAAATGTTAGTCGGTACACAAGAAATCTACACCTTCTCCCGGCCACGTGTAAATGGTGCGCTTAACATCCGAACGTTTTGCTCATTAATAAGGCTGCATTTTAATTCACCTTAATCGGGTACATATTTAAAGTCCCCGTGAAATCAAAATTGAACCTATTTACTTTGTTAGCCCATATTACTAGTCTTGTGGTGAACAATTAATCCGTGCAAGTGAATATATATTAAAAAAATGTTTTACCTTAGTAATCTTTAATCAAAATCTGAAAAGTTACTTCCGGTCTGGAACGGTTTCTTTTTCTGATGACGTAGGTTTCACAGTTTGGGTGGGGAAACGCTTAACCACTCCCCTCAAACCGTTAGTTTGCTATGAGCGAGAGATGGAGAGGAGGAGCGCTAGAGTAAAACCCTGCCCTCTGTTCAATATTCCGTTTCACTTGGAAATACGTCACAGCACTGGAGAAAAATCGTTTGCAACTTCCGGTTCACGGGGACTTTAAACAGCATTTTGAAAAAATATTATATAGTAATTACATAAGTTTTTTTCTTTTTACTTTTATTATGAGAGCCAGTAATCTGGTGATCAATGGCGGCCCTTCTCCAGTTTGAATACGATTTTTCCGAAGTGAATTAATTAGTTTTTTTTGTTGTTTTTTGTTTTTTTGCTGTCAAGCTTATTGTCGAACCATTTTCTTCTCACTTCTGGGACTGTTCGATTAACAGTTTAACAGTTCGATTAATGTTCTGTATGCTTGGAATATGAAGGCTGAAATGTGAAGTATACAACAGTCATGCGACGAAATGAACTGAAATTAAAGAAATATTAGCCGTTATGTTTTGAATAGGGTTGTCAAACGATTAATCGCATCCCAAATAAACTTTTGTGTTCACTGTGTATAATTATTTTGTGTATATATATATATATATATACACACATATGCATTTTTTTTTTATTTGATTGAATTGCCATTTTTTTTAAAACTAAAAAGGTGTTTTTTATATCTGTGAGGTGTTATTTTAGTATCATTTATATATGAAGAGTTCAGATGCAAAAGCCTCTAAATGCCATTTGAAATTTTCTTCTTTAATGATGATTTTTATCAAACTTGTATATTTAAGTTCAGTAATTTCACTTAAATAACAATAAATAGGTAATTATCATTGCCATTTAAGTTAAATTACTGAACTTAAATATACAAGTTTGATAAAAATCATCATTAAAGAAGAAAATTTCAAATGGCATTTAGAGGCTTTTGCATCTGAACTCTTCATATACTATTATAGTATTTATTTATTTTTTTACATTTTTCAGTGTTCATTTTTTTGTGATACTGTTTAAAATGATTTTTTAAATATTCCCATTTAGCTTTAATTAATTTTGTACATTTTTCCATCTAATATTTATTTCAGCTTAATTTCAGTTAACGAAAGCGATTTTTAAAAAGGACCTTTTTTATTTTTAGTTGACACAAACAACACCGAATTTGATGCCATTCACATGAGCATGATGAAGTCATGTGCCAACAATGTATCATACCACTGTTTAAAATATTAATGTATTTAGTGTATTTCGTTAACTGTTACATAATATCTATTATATGAAACATTATATGTATGCATTAATGTATAATGTATTTTGTTTTACATAATTTTATGAAAAAGTAGTATGCAGTTGAATATTGGATTTCGAATATTACTGGTATTTTTTTCCTGTTCACTTTTTTTTTCTGTAAAAGTTCTGTCAAGTTTGCCTGCATATGTAACTGACTCCTGTTGGATAAATGTGATATAAAGTGTTTTTTCATATAACCTTGCGTATAGATGTTCTCTTCAGTGTGCTGCTTTCCCAGGGTGCCGCGGGTCTGTTGACACAGATGCGTCCTGGGGTCTGAAGTCAGAGGGGTGCTTTCATTCTCCTCTTACTGTTCAAACACTGGTGAACATGAGTCTGATCTGGGGTCAGTCAAAGAAAAGCAATACTCACCCAGTTCCTCTGGTTCTGAACGGCTGATACTTTTCTCACCGAGCCGAACCAGACTTCCAAACGCTCTTAAAGTCACGTGAAATCAAAAATGACAATTCTTATTGTGGATGAATCCCATGTGATCTTGAATTAAAATAACTTCCCCTCCCTCTTGCAGTGACATCTCTTCTCTGATTTTGAGGGTGGGGCAACCTGTCACTCACGTGAGATTGACCAATAGCAAATCACAACCATCCAATCAGTTCCACAAGCCCCGCCCTCTATATTTGTTCTTGTTTGAGAAGCTGTAGTGATGCAATAGTGAACATTTTATTTTCTTAGGTCGGTTGGCATGTGTTTGTGCTCAGACTTGTGGTATAAACTGAAGGAAATCCCAAAACTGTTTGTCATGGATCTGTAATCAAAGTGATAATTAAATAATTTTTTCTGTAATTAAAAATGATGAGCAAAGCAACAAAATCATAGCCAGTCAAAATGTATTTGATTTTTGATATACGTATACACTACTGTTCAAAAGTTTGAGGTCAGTAAGTTTACGTTCCTGAAAGAAATTTTATTTTTACTGAGCAGGGATGCATTGAAATGATCAAAAGTGACAGTAAAGACTTCTACAAAAGATTTTAAATAAATGCTGTTCTTTTGAACATTTTATTCATCACAGTATATTTATCACAGTTTCCACAATAATGTTAAGCAGCACAAGTGTTTTCAACATTAATAATAATCAGAAATGTTTCTTGAGCATCAAATCATCATATTAGAGTGATTTCTGAAGGATCATGTGACTCTGAAGACTGGAGAAATGAAATGATGCTGGAAATTCAGCTTTGATCACTGGAATAAATTACATTTAACAATATAATCACATTCAAAAAATAATTATAATAATATTTCACAATATTACTTTTGATCACAGTAATGAGCATATGAGACCTCTTTCAAAAATAATAACAAATCTTACCTACTTATAGTAACTAGGTAAGATGGATGGATGGATTGGTGGGTGGATGGATGGATGGATGGTAGCTTTTGGATAGTACAGCATGTGTAGCTTTTTCAAGATCATTTTTTGATAAAACTGAATTAAATTTCGCAATATTTTTTAATTGAAAGAAACTAAGTTAGTGGCATGACCTTTTATGGTTTAAAACTGGCCCATACTCTTTACTGGTGGACACTAAATATATACTGTATATATATATACTGTAGTGTACAGTATGTGAAACATGATTTTGGACCAATGAGGTTTCACTGTGGGTGGAGCTACCTGGAGCAATGTGATAAACCCTAGAAACAAATAAATCTAAAGTGATTTATTGCATGACCTTTATAAACAATTCAGACATTTCTGTTTTGCAGAGGAATCATAATTTCTGTCTCCAACCTTTCTTAATGTTCTGCAGTGCGTTTTAATGGAACTAAAGACGTGCCCACCTGCATGGATAAAAATCACGGCTGTGCACACATTTGCAGAGAAACGCCCAAAGGATCCATCGCCTGTGAGTGCAGACCGGGATTTCAGCTCACCAAGAACAGCCGAGACTGTAAATGTAAGTGGATGGATCGGTGGATGGATGGATTGGTGGATGGATGGATCGATGGATGGATGGATGGATCGGTGGATGGATGGATGGATGGATTGGTGGATGGATGGATGGATGGATCGGTGGATGGATGGATGGATTGGTGGATGGATGGATGGATGGATGGATGGATTGGTGGATGGATGGATGGATGGGTGGATGGATGGATTGGTGGATGGGTGGATGGATCGGTGGATGGATGGATCGATGGATGGATGGATGGATCGGTGGATGGATGGATGGATGGATGGATTGGTGGATGGATGGATGGATGGATGGATGGATGGATGGATTGGTGGATGGATGGATCGGTGGATGGATGGATGGATGGATGGATGGATGGATGGATCGGTGGATGGATGGATGGATTGGTGGATGGATGGATGGATGGGTGGATGGATGGATTGGTGGATGGGTGGATGCATGGATGGATGGATTGATGGATGGGTGGATGGATGGATGGATGGATGGGTGGATGGATGGATCGGTGGATGGATGGATGGATGGATGGATGGATTGGTGGATGGATGGATCGGTGGATGGATGGATGGATGGATGGATTGGTGGATGGATGGATGGATCGGTGGATGGATGGATGGATGGGTGGGTGGATGCATGGATGGATGGATGGATTGGTGGATGGGTGGATGGGTGGATGGATTGGTGGATGGATGGATGGATGGATGGATGGGTGGATGGATGGATGGGTGGATGGATGGATCGATGGATGGATGGATGGATGGATTGGTGGATGGATGGATCGGTGGATGGATGGATGGATGGATGGGTGGGTGGATGCATGGATGGATGGATGGATTGGTGGATGGGTGGATGGATGGATGGGTGGATGGATGGATGGATGGATGGATGGATTGGTGGATGGGTGGATGGATGGATGCATGGATGGATGGATGGGTGGATGCATGGATGGATTGGTGCATGGGTGGATGGATGGATGGGTGGATGGATGGATGGATTGGCATGTGTTGCTTTTTTGAGATCATTCTTTGATAAAACTGAATTAAATTTTGCATTTTTTTTTTAATTGAAAGAAACTAAGTTAGTGGCATGACCTTTTATGGTTGAAAACTGGCCCATACTCTTTACTGGTGGACACTAAATATATATATATATAGATTGCCAAAAATGTATTACTTTTTGTCATTTTACATTAGAAAATTTTAGTTAATCCAAAGTTTCACCTCAAGGCAAGTTTATTTATATAGCACATTTCATACACAATGGTAATTCAACGTGCTTTACATAGAAGAAATAAAAATAATCAAAAGAAATAAAATTAAAATGGTTTAGAATAAAAAAAAATAGATAAAAACAGTATTAACAGTCAATCCAAGCAGAGAATTTTCAGCCTCATTACTTCCTGTTTTAAAAGGAATTACAACTGCATATCATTAGTAACATAACTATGATATGAAATGTCATATTTATCAAATATAGAGCCCAGCGGAATCATGTAACGGAAAAAAGTAACGGCCCTAAAATAGAGCCCTGAGGTACCTCATAAGTTACAGGAGCAGCAGATGAAAAATTATTCCCAATCTTTACCGCAAATGTCATAGATAGATTGATTGATTGATTGATTGATTGATTGATTGATTGATAGATAAATAGAACAATGGATGGATGGGTTGATAGATGTTAGTGATTAGAAGTTAGTGATCTCTAATCTCTCAATGTTGATGTTCTTGACTAGTGACGTGTAACTATGGCAACGGTGGCTGTCAGCACATCTGTGAGGAGACGGACCACGGGCCCAGATGTTCCTGCCACATGAAGTTTGCGCTTCACTCTGATGGGAAGACCTGTGTAGGTTAGTGAACACTCGCACGGCAACACTCGACTCTACTTTAACTAGAGTAAAGAAATCTGCTCGGTTTTACCAGTTTTATCTGGGAAAAAGTTGTTGACAGGTGATGGGAAAATAAGGGTGATTGATGACATCAGCCAAAATGAAAATAGTTTATTTATTTATTTATTTTTATATTGTGCACCACTGAATCGGTTGATTTTGATTTCACATTGACTTTAAAATATCCCTAGTGAGCTGCAGACACCGTTAAAGCAAAGGCATTGGCTTTAAGAGACTTCTAGTGGAAACTCTAAACTTTACGCTCTGTTAAGTCCAGCGTTTGGCTTGATTTTATGCAGTGGAACCAAATCTCTGAGTTTCACTCGACGTTCAGAACATACAGTGGGAAATGGGCTGTTCTGTGCACCTCAAGTGTTTGACAGTGAGCACATTGTCCTTTAGTTACGCTTCATTTACATACATATGTTAGTGTTTCCATTAGTCTAGTCACGGATGAGGATTTACAGGCGTCGTGGGAGCTATAAACAGAAAGTTGAGCGCAGAAAGACACTTACGCATGAGGTATAAACTTGATGTATTTGACGATATATCAAACTTAGGAAATCAAGATCACTGAATGTGAAGAGTTATGCGCCTTTCTGCTCTATTCGTCTTTTTTTCTATTTAACCTTGCTTGCTTGAACACATTTCCCTTCGACTTTTCACGTTCTTAAAGAGCACTGTTTGGTCACAATGCTGTGCGTAATTTATGAGCAATTAGCGTCAATAATAAAAATAAAGATTGTCTAAGCTGGTTTTCTTATAGTTGTATTTTATTTTATTTTTTTATTACACCTGGCAGCATATGACCTAAATAAAAAGTGTGTGCGTTTGTGTGTCTGAGTCAATCACAAGTGTTCTTTGCACCTCTTTAGCCAATCACAGCTTTGCTTTCTATTACTGCAACCAATCACAGCAGACCTCTGTATCAATGAGCCACGATTCATCAAAGACTAGCGATCCGCAGCGGACTTACGACTGTTTACGCCAAGTCTGAATTACGTCATACGAAATATCAATCTCTGTGCCAAAAAATCATTTTGTGATTATTCATAGTTGTGTATTGTAAGAGAGTAGATTTTCGTTTTGTTTATTTGAAAAACTTCTGTTAAATTTTTTCTTAGGGAAAATTACCCCATTCTTTTCTTATATTTATTTAATTATTTTTCGCAAAACTACTCAGAACATGAACAGTAATTAAATAAAATCATAACTAAATACATATAATAGAAGTTGTGTAGCAGATAAAGGACACTAGGTTTTCAGGAAAATACATATATATATATATATATATATATATATATATATTGAGTATATTAAAAGTTAAAGTATATCTCGCTTGTCAAGAATAATTGCAGTTGTAATACATATTTCTGTGCTACGTTTTCTGCATAATTTCTAATAATAATATTAGGGCTATCAAATGATTAATCGCATCCATTCCATAAAGTTTGTGGGTGAACTGTGTATAATTATTTTGTATATTTATATATACATACACATGCATGTATATTTAGGAAAAAATATTATTTATATATAAAATATTTAAATGTATATACAATATAAATTATATATAAATCTATATACATGAAAATATTTCTTAAATATATACAAGCATGTGTGTGTATTTATATACATGTATACAAAATAATTATACACAGTGCACCCACATATATAATAAAAACACAAACTTTTATTTTGGATGCGATTAATCGCGATTAATCGTTTGACAGCCCTAATTAATATGAATAATTGAAGAGTTCAGATGCAAAAGCCTCTAAATGCCATTTGAAATTTTCTTCTTTAATGATGATTTTTATCAAACTTCAATAATTTCACTTAAATAACAATTAATAGGTAATTATCATTGCCATTTAAGTGAAATTACTGAACTTAAATATACAAGTTTGATAAAAAATCATCATTAAAGAAGAAAATTTCAAATGGCATTTAGAGGCTTTTGCATCTGAACTCTTCAATTATTATTATTTGTAGTAGTAGTAGTTCTAGTACTACTTTTACTATTATTATTACTATTATTACATTTTTTCATCAAACTTTCGGGAAGTGTCAGAGTGAGACTCGCTTAACCCCACATGATTTTTTTTTCTTCTAATTGATCATTAGCTTAATTTAAAAATAATATAAAATAATAATAATAATTTTGCAAATGTATATATTTTTTTCTATTTCTATTTCTCTGGGCATTTGTTTTTGAGAATCACCAATAATTTAAAAAAGTGAATATTTAATTTTTTTTTTTTATGTTCTTTAGTCGCATTGAATTGGATGGCCATTATTCAGTGCTCATATGTAACAGACACTTTTGATATGTTGGTGTAAGCTGAAAACGGATCTAGGGAGCGTTGGCCGTAACAGCTGGAAAAGTCATAAAACAAGCGGATCCGCAGACTTCAGGATGGCATTATGAATCCTTAAGTTAGCAACCGCTCCTCTCAGCGGCCACATCCAAATAGAAACAAACACACACACGCTCTTAAAGACAGACCTTTAAAAGCAGCATTTCAGCAGGGCCCTTGTTTCCCGGCCGAACGGTGGTTAGTCTGGCTTCTGATCCGTTCTTTTGCACTCTCTCTCCTCGACTGGATCCAGCTCTCATGTCAAGGTCTCACTCCGACGCCCTATTATTACCCCTCTGTTCCCCCCCAAAACCCGCCAGCAGCTCCGCAAATGAGACGCCTGGCGTGTCTGACGGCCCCCGAAGACAAAACTGAAGGAGTAAAGCACAGGCCACAGAGGCCAGAGGCGTGCGGTGAATCTGTCAGGGTCGCAGAAATCCAGGCCTCGCTCTCTCACGGGCTCTAATAGGCCAGAAAGCCACAATAAAACAAGCTGAACTTATTAACGAGCCCCCGTTGAGCGATGGGCTGGAGTCACGGAGTAATTGATGTAGCCTACCCACAATCCCCTCAGGAGATGGAAACCGTTGGCATGATAAGAGGAGGTGAGAGGAGAGATGGATGTTTCCTCAACGACAGACACTTTTACGTCCCGGGGGACTGATTTTTATAAAACAGACTCAAACTTTTTGTGATGTGAAAGTCACATTTAAACTTTTGTGGAAACTTGACTTTTATTATGCACTTATTTTCAAACACAATAGTAAAATGCGTGTTACCAAATAGTGTGTGTTTTTATATACACTAGCTTTTGTGTAGCTCTTCTGATCGCCAAGGCTGCATTTATGTGATCAAATAAATCAGTAACATAATATTATTACTAGAGCTGGGGAATAAATATCGATTTCTCGATATTAATCGATTCTCATTTTTACGAACCGATATCGATTCTTAAATCTCAAGAATCGATTAGTCATCCTGTTTCATTTGAATGAGTGAGAGATTTTATCGCGGCTGCGCGCATCCAACAAATCGCAATAATCTTTGTCCTTCGTTACTATTGATATGAAACAAAGTCTCAAATTTCAAATTACGTCCATTTTATTTAGAAACTCAAAAACATAAATAGTGTTTTGGCGCTGTGGCGTGAGATCGCTCTGGAGAAGCAGCAGCGCTGATCTCTCTTCCGGGTTAATAATACCTGTCACAGCGCCAAATAAACATGAATGAGCGTCTGAAAGTGTGTTAAAGATAGAGTACAACTTATCGAAATCCGTATCATGTCACATTGATTCGCTCAATCAGCGTTTTTTTCAACCGTGAAAAGACGTTAGTTAAACAGCTTGTAATCAATGTATCGTCATATTTACCTCAGAAAACCCACATAAACTCGTTAGTCAGCTAGAAAAAAATAACTCTAGAGAGGAGCATTTTGCTAAATATATACACCATATTACATATGCATTATAATCTTAATGTTTTTCAATATTTAATGCATATTTGAATGAATCTGGCAAGTTTTTATGACAGTCACCATTTAAATGTTTATATTTCATATAATCTTCTTACAATAAAATAAATAAAAGTGTAATTTAAGTGTTTGTTTAGCTACAAAACAGTTCATTATTACCTTCATATTAGGCTAATAAAGTCTATAGGCTACAACTAGACTCCCATAGTTTACACTTTACAGTTAATATAGTTAAGAGATCTGATTTCCCTGAGAAAATTTGCCGTTTATTGTAACTGATATCCAAAATAATCAATATTGAATCGAATCTGAATCGAAATCGAATCTAATTGCAAGCTTGTGAATCGAAATCGAATTGAATTGTGAGATTTGTGTCAACACCCAACCCAGCCCTAATTATTACCATTTAAAATAGCAATTTTCGATGTGAATATATAGTAATTTATGTATTTTAAGCATCATTACTCCAGTCTTCAGTGTCACATGATCCTAATATGATGATCTGATGCTCAAAATTTTTTTTTTGATTATTATCAATGTCGAACACAGTTTTGCTACACAATATTTTAGTGGAAAGTGTGATACATACATTAATTTGCTTAGAATAGAAAGTGATAGAGAACAGCATTTATTTGAAATATAAGTATTTTGTAACATTATGAATGTCTTTTACTCTCACTTTCGATCAGTTCAATGCAACCTTGGTGTGTGTGTGTGTGTGAAGATGGTTGTAATTTTGTATCCTGCCTAACTTTGAAGAAAGTGCAAAGTATTTCTGTGTATTTATGCTGGAATAAAATTGGCATAAAATTATCCATAGCAACAAAAGATGTCAGCCATATTATTTAAAAAAAAATGATGTGGTGGGAATAATGATCAAAAAGAATTCCTCCTCCGTTGGCAATTGCAAATTGACGAACGACTTCAACCATTTCAGAGTGTATTTTAAGGCTATTTATTTTCTAAACCAGGCGGCCAAAAGTGTCCTAGTCGAAGAAACATTCAGCGCAAGCTTTCATTTTTCATTCTTTTCAAGTCTTGCCACCCTCACCTCACGTTGTTTACTACATATTACGAATAAAACGGCGGAGAGGACCAGACGTAGCACGTGTTAAAGACATTTTCAGATG